TGCATTGGCTAGCCTAGCCTGTCTTCCCCCTAGTCTCTCCTTCCCTTTCTGTATTTGCTCTTCTTGCACCACTTATCTTGTGTCTCCCAGGAAACCAGTGGGGAAGCTTCACTTTCCCCACCCACAGAGCAGAAAAGGCTCAGGCCCTGCAGTGGGACAGTTGGCTTTTCTGGTCTAGCCACAATAAGCCTGTGCTGAATGCTTCCTCTCCTGAGGCTTGAGAAAGGAAGGCTAAAGCAGCTGCCAGTCAAGCCCCTTCATCAAGCTTCTACACTCTCAGGTGGAAAATGCAAAATGGTGAAGACACTTAGACCTGCCTGAGGCCTCCAATCTAGTCAGCTTGTTTACTCTCCCTGGTTGGAACCATGGCCTGAGAGAACTAACCTGCAGTGAGCCAGGACGTGGAGCCTTGCAATGGGACTTCTGGATGCCCTTTGGCACTGGCATACATTAGGCAGGAGTCGTTGCCCCCAAAGCCAGTGTGTGGGCATGTGTGCACATACAGGTTGGGGAGAACTGGAGCTGGATCGTACTTTGTGCTTTGTTTCTCCACCTCCCACTGCTTCCTCACTTGGTTGTAGTTTGCTTTTGGGGGTCCTGAGCAGAACTGAGCATCCTTAGAAAGCACCATGAGATAACTGGGAATCTGCTTTAAAGATAGGGATGCTAGGGGCCACGCATGCATACTCAGTAAGACAGAGTTGGCTCCTCAGGTACCACTGATGAGCCTGAAGTCTTTCCTTAATCTGCTTCCAACAGAGGTTAAAAACTCATCTAAAAATTCTTACAATAGGAGGTGAATTAAAAACTGAGATTGTTATTCTGTTACACATCTGGTGAGTAGCCAGGTCCCCTGAGCTGGTGGGTAGGGAGAAGGTTTCCTCACTGGAGGTAATTTCTGCCTACATTAAGGGGTTAAGCCCAGCCCATGCTGGAGACAGACTACCTCAAACCACCCTCCAGGGCAGTTCTGCCTTTCCGCTTGTCTTCTCTGTGTAGTGCTGGCGAGAACTGCTGAGGCCCTGCACACAATGCCTGACTAGAGTGTCATTCCTGGATCCCAGGACAGAAAAAACAATTAAGATAAAAAACGAATATTCAAGCCTCTGCACTGCTGTTGTTCCTGCTTCTTTGCATCCACTCCAGGCAGACTGCTGGCTGCTCTCAGACAAATGGAACGGAAAGTATCCTTCCCCAATTTAAAATTTAAACAGAACTGCTTTCCCTGTGTGTGAATGCTGTTTTCAGTGTGTGTGTGTGTGTGTGTGTGTGTGTGTGTGTGTGTGTGAATGCCAATAAAGCACTTTGAGGAGGAGGGAACTGATCCCACTCCAAAAGCCTGAAATAGGAAAAGGAAAACCAGGCTGTGGACCCCTGGAAGCCAGGGGTCACAGCTCTGCATCTCCAATGCTTGAGGCAGGTGTTGCTCATTCTGTGGCTTCAGGAAACCAGAGGGTCGGTGGTACTGCTGTTTGTTACAGTTGCCCCTCCCTTCCTAGCTTGTCTGCCCCACTTTTCCCTCAGAAGGGCAGAATTAGGAGAGATTTAGATAGACTTGTGACCTGCAGCTCCCGACGAAGACCAGCTCCAGGAAGCTCAGGCTGGATCTAGGGAGCAACTGTACTGACTCCGAGCTCTGCAGTCTGCCCTGTGATTTGAGAACACCAGGTAGGCAGCACTTAAGGCAAACGTCACTAGTCATGGCCTTGGTGACATTTCTGGCAGGAGTAAGAGCTGGCCTTGCATCTGGAAGAAAGAAATGTGTCCATGTTTTCTTACGATGGTAAAAACAACTCTCTGAGACTTAGATCCCCTGTCATTATCCATAACTGTATTGCCTAAGAAGCATAAAGCCCAAAGCCTGGCTCAGTGAAAGAGAAAGACAAGGACATAATAATACCACCTGTTTACATGTGTTTAGTTTAATGCTTTGAACTTTCCAATTCCTAATAAAACATTCATTCTCTCATCTAACCCTCACAACATCCCTGTGAGGTAGGTCAAGCAATAAGTGGTTTGCCCATGGCCACACCAGTGATAGGAACGGAGTAAATTCATACTGCAGGTTTCCCAGCCCCCAGGCCGATGCACCTTTCATTTCATGTTACGCAGGATTTGTGCCAACCAGACACAGAGCATCAGGAGCACTACCAGAAGCCTCCCTGCTCTCTAAGCTTGCAGAGGAGCCCCAGAAATGTTGGGCTTGAGGCATCAAGACCAGGAGTGCACCCTGGAGGCCAAGACAGGTAAACAGAAGGAAGGGCAGGAGTACTAGAAATTGAGGCTCAACAGCCATCCCTGCCACCGCCACAGTCACTCAGCCTAGCGTACACTGTGTTCCCTACATATCTTGACCTTTGTCAGCTGCAAGTCTTATTTTTGCAAGTTTACGGAGAGGACTCTCAGTACCCACTCCCAGAAGACAGACACTGCAAGGCGTGGCTAGCAGCAAGATTCCTGACTTTCTTCCCATAGTGCCTCCCCATTCTGTTACACTCTGCAACCCAGGAAGAGGGCTAAGGTCGGGGCTGGCTGACTCAGCCTGCAAGTGCTTAGAGATCTGAAGCTGAAAGGCCCCAGCACCATTCAGCTAATGATTATTATTAACTCTGAACAGGCCTTGGCACAGCAGCCAGCTGGCTCTGGGAGAATGCCTGAATCTCCCACAGTGAGATTTTAAAAACAAGACCTGGCCAGGTGCGGTGGCTCACGCCTGTAATCCCAACACTTTGGGAGGCCGAGGCGGGCAGATCACGAGGTCAAGAGATCAAGGCCATCCTGTCCAACATTGTGAAACCCCATCTCTACTAAAAATACAAATATATGGTGGGCAGGTGCCTGTAGTCCCAGCTACTCAGGAGGCTGAGGCAGGAGAATTGTTTGAACCTGGAAGGCAAAGGTTGCAGTGAGCCAAGATCACGCCACTGCACTCCAGCCTGGGGACAGAGTGAGACTCCATCTCAAAAAAAAAAAAAAAAAAAAAAGGTCTACAGCATCCATGCACAGGGGTGGAAGAAGGTGGGACAATGAGAAAGAAAGGACAGTCCAGTGAGTGGGGAAGGGCAGTCTGCCTTGTGAAAGGGTCGGGGGAGAGGAGGCCCAGCCTGGCAAGTGCTAACGACCTACCACTTAAGAGCCAAGAAGGTGAGGCTGGAGGACTTCCCCTGACACAGAGGTCCTCTCATTCCATACCACCTCCAGTCGTGATGGGGGTCAGAAGAGGGGTAGTTACAGGAAAGATGGGGGTTTTGGAGGGGTAGCTGAACCCAGAAAGGTAATCTCATTTCCGTTCAGATTTGGATACAGAAGCCATCTATATTTCTAATGTCCTCAAGGTTGAATCTGAATATAATCAAACTTGGAATATGATCAAATTTGGAATATAATCAAATGGAATCAGGACTTAGCTTGATATGAATATTTGTGCAAATGACACACAAATTTTTTAAATTGGCTTTTTTTTTTTTTCTTTTAAGGCAAAACAGGCTGACCACTAGCAGCTTTCTCTAGTCAGGGAGCAAGGACAAAAGGGCAACCATGTGCTTCTCTAAGGCGTTTGCTTCCTTGCTGATGAGCCAAGTGAATACCCCAGACATGAGGAGAAAAGGGGAGGTACGCAGAACAGAGGATGGAGGAGGAGGGAACACACAAGCAGGAGGTCATGAAGCTGGGAGCCACTGAGATCCCAGCTGGAGAAAGAGTGCTCTGGCACTGAGGTCTAATGGCTGTCCAGCTGCTGCCCCAGGATGGGAGGGCAGGTGTTGATGGAGAAATGGAAAGAGGGGAGGGAAGTCACTCCATAATCCGGCCTGCCAGGATGAAGGGCTCCTCCTGGTGACCTGTGCCCTATACTGCAGTCAGACCAGGCTAAGCAGGAGACCACCTGTGCCCTCCTCTCTGCTCTGTGCCCCTGCCCTCCAGGCCCGCTGGTCAGAAAGGCGACAGCTGGGGCCCCTTCCTCCTGCAGAATATAAATGACTCCCCCTTCCTCCCAGGGCTGGGAATAGACATCAGATGGCACAGCCCACGCAAACTCCCGGCTGTCAGCACGCCTGCCCGCCTGCCCATCAGCCCCCGCACCACCTGGGAGGAGGCAGCACCTCAGGCAGGCTCAGGCTTTACGGCATTGCCTGCTTGTTCTCAGAGCAAGCTGGTGAACTTTGCCTGGCCCTCCTACCCTGCTGCAGGTAGGGTGAGCCCCTCAGCATTGGCTGTGATGAGGGAAGAGGAGATGCAGTCCCTGGATCAAAATCACCACAGGTGAGATTCTCCATGCAGCCCCAGTAACTGTTTCTTCTGAGTTCGCATCACACTGGATAGTTTGAGAGGAGGGGGGACAATGAAAGAGACAGGAACAATCACCCCTCTGCACAGCAGGGGCCTCCTTTAGATGCTTGTCCTGAAAGATGCAGTCTTCCCCAGGAGAGGCATAATGAGGTACATGGAGAGGACACTTCTGCCCTTGCTGTCCCCATTCTTGTACTATTGAATCACACCAACCTCCTTTCTTCTGAGCTACATGGAGAGGAGGACCTGAATCTTCAGAAGACCCGGGTCATCCACAACATTAACGTCTAAGAACACCTGCCCCTGCTCCCAGGAACTGGAGCTCTAGCGCCTACACCCCAGGCTTCCCAGAGTTCCCTGTGAGCTATGTGTACCTGCCTCAGCAGCACTTTCCTGGCTTCACTCTTGTCAGTCCTTGCCATGATTTAAGGAGGTCCCATCTTCCCGACTGAGCCAGACCACAGCTAAGCAGTCTGGCATCCAGTCCTCACCACCGAGGGCAGTCTGGGGAACTACTTTCATCTGCAACAAGGAAGGGGGTTCTCTGTGGGGAAGAGAGCCCAGCCCTCATTTGCCAGCTGGCACCAAACTCAGTCCCCTCTTGGACCAAAGAGCTGGCAAGAGATGACAACTGAGGAAAGCTTAGATAACAAAAAAAAGGAAGAGGGGGAACCAGAAAAACTTTGTTTTCTTGGGATCAGAAAAGCCCTTCCCCCACTTCCTTGACCCTTATGAAAAGCTTGAAAAGCTCCAAGTAGCTATGTGCTAAGGCAAGAATCTGAGCCCTAAGAAGAGCAAAGCATGAGATGCCCAGGGCTCCTTTGCCCTGAGAAGCAATTTCAGGGGAGGGAGCACACACAGGCCTTGCAGTCCTCAAGCCCAGATCCTGAGGTGGGCTGAAGGAATATGCCAATGCCCTCTTACTCCTCCAAAAGCTTTAAAGTGACTTTAGTGCCTTCACCATCTTAGAGTCCAGAAGACCCTCATCTGAGTCCCTTCTCTCCACAGTGTCTGACCCTCTATGCCCTGGCGCAGGGACCAAATCAGCACAAATTTCTGAAGGACCTCAAGGGCAGAGCTGTCCCTCCAGGGGAGTAAAGGGAGAGTAAGGAGATACCCCGAGTCTGCTAAGTGGTCCACATGGTTCACAGCTGGGAGGGTGTTCTGAGACACAGACCTGACAGATGTTGAATATTAAGATGGAAGGGACTTAGAGACTGCTTAGAAACATTTCACAGATGAAGAAACAGAGGTCTTAAGGTATGGAATGTACCTAAGGTTGTACAACAGAGCCTAAGAGTACCATATCCCATAAACAAGGCCCATAGACTCTCTCTACTACATCACACTGTTTTCTTAAAAGTAAGCCAAATATCCATGGATGCCATTCATAACTTACAATTTTTCATCAGGCACACAAGCAAGAAATGACCACCAGCATATCACTAGCACCACCCAAAACTAACTCTCATCAAGTAGAGGCTTCAGGATCAGGCTCTCCATCACCTTCCACTCGTACCCAGTACGTTTCCCCATTTTGACCCACTGAATTATTCCTCGGCAATAGCAGCTTTGGTTTCTGCAGTCCCTGAACCAGCCAAGAAGTGCAAAAACCTGACCACTTCTGAAACAGATCCCTTGTAGACGACCAAAGGAACCATGAAGTCCAAGGCAAGTGTTCCATCTAGATTCAGAGTTTGCAGGAACTCACATTTCCATTTTCTTCCTTGGTAAGTAGGATCTGGAGATCTGGTGCATGATCACAAGGGCTGGATACAGTGGCAGTGCCAGGCAAAGGTACCATGCTGCACCTTTGATCTGGGCCTGGAACCATACTGAGTACATGCCCAGAAGCACCGTTACTGTAGCCATCAGGTAGACCACCAGTCCACATGTCAGATGGTAGAGCTTGAGGCGAGCCACCCTCGAGACCCTGGCTGCCCGAGGACAGAGGAGGCAGAGCCCACACAGAGCCTGGCCACCAGTGGCCAGCAGTGTCAGGGCTCCTACCCAGCTGTGCCAGGACACCAGATGAGGCAGTTCACTGCGGGTCCTGCTGGAGATGATGAAGCCCAGGCCCAGAGCTGCACAGAGGATGGCTAGGGTCTGCCCTGCCCAGTGGAGCCGGATCCGAGCTTTTCGGGAGCAGAAAAAGAACGGAGAGTATTCAGGTGAGAAGAGTAGGATGGCTTTGGCCATGCAGAGGCAGAACTGTGAACATAGGAGAGAGAAGTAAGCCTCATGTCTGGCTTGGAGGCCTGAGAAAAAAGGAGGTCCTCTCATACATCCTAACAAAGAGGACAGAGGATAGGGTTTAAATAAGTTCCACCAGGACTACCAGCCTCACAGCTCAACATTTCTGACAACAAACTCTCCTCGTTCAGGTTGACATCTCCCCACCCCAACCTCTACAATGACTCCCATTTCTTGACCAGTGGAACAACAAATGTTAAACTTCCTCCTGAAATTAGGGGACAAGTAGGGAGATGACTGGATAACACCTCACCCTCCTTCTCCTTCAGACCCCAATGGAGAAAGAAGTATCTTCTATGCCCTGCCACCCTTTTCAACCACCTGACATTTGCCTATGGCCCAGCCCTCCACTTTCCAAATCCCATAGGCTGCAGGGAAAGATGAACCCTAGATGTTTCCTCCACCCATCTTAACCTTAGAAAGGCTGAGCTTTCTGAAGGCTGGATACTTCCCTGGGAGTGAGGTGGGACATACCCAAACAAATCAGATAGAAGCCCAAACTCACCGCCAAGGCCATAAATACAGGGTGCCAGGAGAAAAGACCTAAGAATCAAAGAGAAGAGGCTGAGGGCTCCATACCATTGTTCCAGCCCCTGTAGCTAGGTGGATCCCAAAGAATCCAGCCACAGGAGAAAAGTAGCATCCCCAACCCTAATCGGGAACAGGAACTAAGGACAAAGTGGAGCAGCTAAGGGGCCCCAAGGTAAGCAACCAAGAGGGCCTCCCTATACACACAGTTTGGTCTGGGTTCACCATTCAGCACCTCTCAGCTGGCAGCTCAGTCCTAGAATAGAGAATAGACCTCTGCCTTTTTTTTGAGACAGAGTATCCCTCTGTTGCACAGGCTGGAGTGCAGTGGTGCGATCTTGGCTCACAGCAACCTTCGCCTCCCGGTTTCAAGCGATTCGCCTGCCTCAGCCTCCACAGTAGCTGGGACTACAGGCGCGCGCCATCACACCCAGCTAATTTTTGTATTCTTAGTAGAGACCGGGTTTCACCATGTTGGCCAGGCTGGTCTCGAACTCCTGACCTCAAGTGATCCACCCGAGTCGGCCTCCCAAAGTGCTGAGATTTCAGGCGTGACCCACCGAGCCCGGCCTCCTTCACTTCTATCCTCCATCAGGGGACCTGTTTCTGAGGAAGTAGTTCAGTCTGTTCAATTGTCTGCCCTTCCCCCACAGCACCCAAAGCCCCATTCTTCCAGGACCCCTGGGGCCCCGCCCCACCAGGCCCTCAAAACCCCTCCAGTCTCTGTCTCCCCTTTACAGCTAGGGTCCCTCCTCCAAATCTTTCGGCGCTCCCAAGCGCTGCCCCTCCAGCATATCCGCTCCGCCCTCTTCCGTAGCCCCGCCCCGCCCCGCACACTCACTGGTTCCTGGCCGGGACAGCGCTGTCAGAAAGATGGTGAAGCCCAAAGCTACCAGGTGCGCCAAGATCCCACTGCCTCGCCGCAGCCAGCGGGTCAGTCTCGGCTCCCCAGGTGGAGCGGGAACCAGACCTACCTCCAGGGGCTGCATGGCCGTGCCCGGCGGGCCCGCACACTCCAGCTGCCCGAGCACGTCTTCCGGGTTTGCGATCGCGGAGGCGGAGGCGGCTGCAGCAGAGGCTCCTCCCCGGGGACGCCTCCGGCTGCGCGGCGGAGTGGCCTACAGCGCCCTCTGGGGGCTGGGGGGAAAGCGCGAGTGCTCCGGAGAAGCCCGCTCCCGCGAGAGCCCGGAGGCAGAAGGGGACCGGACAGATCCCGGCCCACCTTAATTTTATCTGTGTGTCTGTCTACAAGGACCTAAATCCCAAGTAGCCTGTGGAAATTACATTTGTAGCAAACGATTTCAGTGAAACCCCAAATCACACGTTTAGTATGCTGAACCAAGAGTGTGAAACCAGTGTTTGGAGCCGATTTCTAGTAGTATTGGATTTCCCTGTCTGTGCACTGTCTCCTGCCGCCTCCTTTTGTTCAGGGAACAAGCTTCCTCCCTGCCTAAAAAGAAAGCAAATAGGAAAGGACAGGGCTAAAATATAGTGCCTTGAACCTGGTTGACCAAAGGAGGGAGATGCAAGTCTCATCTCCTATCTGCACAGTTGTCCCCATCGAGATAAATGGAATAACTAGGGCACTCCCAGCCCTGCCGCCTCCTCAGCAGCTGCTCAGCCCTGAGGAGCCAGGTGATCCTGAGGGACCAGGGCCTCCCACACCACCAGTTCTGCAAGTGATGATGCCTTTTCCTTTCCTAAAAAGGTGTGGTTCAGGCCCAAGGAGGCCTCCCTGGGAAAGGTTCTACCCCTTCCTTAAAGGCAAACCCACAGCCGGGAAGAAAGGCTGTCCAATAGAAAGCAGGAACTTCCAACAGCAATGACCAGCCCAGCTCAAGCTCCCTAAGTGGTTGAGAAAATGAGAGTGCTGGTAAGAGGTGGGAAAAGCAGGAACAGCTGAAGAAAAACAGGCAATAATTCAGGGAGGGATGGACACCTAGGGTGTCCACAACCAATTCCACAAGCCAATTCCCAGACCCTCAGGGCAAGGATCCTAGAGAAGAGCCAGAGGTGCAGCTCTCCCTCTCAAGTTTCTCTTACCAATGGGACCATAGTCGTCCCTGGGGTCAAGACTCAGGAAGCCTTGCCCATTCAGAGCCACACACCTCATCATCCTGTCTGGAAAGAACACTCTCCCAGTGACACAAACTCCACGCATTTTCACACTACTGAAAATGACAAGATGACAATAATAATAATGAGCATAAGAGACTTCTGCAGGCAAGCTATGGGAGCTGGAGTCTGGCTGCCTATCTTAGCCACACAGGGTAGGGCTGGTGACAGTAAGGACACTCATTTTGTTATTTTTTTTCCTTCCTTTTCTATGTTTGTGTTTTTATATTTTCATAGCAGCAACAGAACAGGGAGACAGTCTTGAGGTATTTTAAAGAGATTTTTTTCTTAAAAAAAATAATATAAAGTTATAAAAAGCGGCAGCAGCCTGGGGCCCGGATCTGGAGGGGAGGAGGTGCTGGCGGCTCCGTTGCAGTGGGCAGGCACTTTCTCATTAATGGGCTTTTGACTGCAAGAAGACAAGAGGCAAGAGAAAGGGTCAGGGTGGGGGCCTGCCTGCTGTCCTTCCTGGTGAACTGTGTGGACTAGAGGGGCTAAATCTTGATTTCCTTCTGCTGGCCTGGGGAGTAAAACTGAGCAAGAGGGAAGATGAATGCCAGCTCACTAGAGCCAGTTTGGGTAGTGAAGTTGGAGAGCATACACGGCTTATGGGCCCACATCTAACCCAGGAGAGCAACCCCATCCCACCTCCAGTAAGTCCCTCCTGGCAGAGATCATATGGAGAGCACATGGCACGCTACGCCAGGGATCCCACCAGAACAGGCAAATAAAACTGGCTACAGGCTTTACTAGTAATCCTGGAGAACCTGTCTGTCACCCACATGGCTGGAGGTGAGCACATGTGCAAGGTGGGCACACGTGCAGTAGTGGGCATGGGGTTGTGTGCCTGCCCTTCAAGGCCCTGATGCCCAGAGGAAAAACCAGTGAGCAAGACCAGCCCACCCACCTTGCTGCTTGGCATGTTAGGCTGTGACCCAAGGACTCAAACTCCCTTTCCTTCGGGGAACAGAGGTAGCTCCAGTACCTGGAATGAGGGTCACAGCCAATTCAGAAACAAGTGGCCCTTTGGTTACAGCAAAAGCAGGGGTGGAGGGGTGCTGCATCTCCTTAGCCCAAGGGAAAGGGTTAGGGATAGGGGAAGGTTCACCAGGCAAATGCTGGAGTCACTTTGCTAAGAGCTGACCTACCTCTTCCTAAAGAAAACAGTCCAGGAACTCTCTCTCAACTTCCCCTGCCTCCCTTTCCCTGCACAAACACCAATGTAGCAGCTTCTCCGTATCAGGTACCCACTGTGTACCCCACCCTCGTCAATCTTCAGGGAGCCTGGCTGGTACCTTCAGTGTAGAGCACTTCTCCTCAAAGGCCAGGGCCGGGCCTGGCTTCTTGCGGCGCACAGAACAGGCCACATCAGCAGGGGCACCAGCCTGACAGTGCTTGGCCTTCACCGGCCGGCAGTAAGTGGCCAGGTTTTTCCGCTTCTTGGCCACCTCCTCCTCAGAGAGGCAGTTGGTTGACAGGGCCTTGCCTGGGTGTCCAGCTGCTCCCCGGTTCTCCAGCTGAGAAGCCTTGACTGGTGTGGGGAGCTGATGAGGGGAGCCACGACAGTCCAGGGGCCCTGCCCGCTTCACTCTTGGCCCCATTGTCCCATTAAGCCCCATGCTCAGGGCTGTTTTAGTCTTGGCCGAGAGGCCCCGGCAGCCAGAGGGTTTGCCTTTTCCAGTGGGCTCCAGGATGCAGGTCCGTTTAAAAGTGGTGGGGCCAGGGGATAACTTCCGCTTTCGAGAAGGGGCCTCCATCTCCACCCCGTCCTTGCCTTTGGATGACTTGCTGGCCTTGGAAGGCGGCAGCTTGCTGAAGGACGGGGACGGCGTGTTGGCAGGCAGTGGTGAGGTGATAGCCTGGCTCCCGCCCATGCACTCTGCCTGGCTACAGGCGGCCGCCACACTGGGGGAGCCTGCAGTGTAGCTGGGGACAAGGCTGTCCTTGGTAGGGGGCGTGGAGGCTGGGCAGGCAGGTCTTGGGGGTGGACCTGGAAGGCGGGGGCAGCTGCCTGTAGAGGATGGGCTCAGGGGAGCAGATAAGGGGGAGTTGACAAGGTGAGATGGAGGTTCGGTCGCCGGTGGAATCTTCCTGCAGCGAAAAGAGAGCCCGCTGTGACTGCCAAGCAAACAAGAGAGCTTCCCCCAACACAAGACACACTCCAGTCTCTCTGCCCCACCTAGAAATGGCCAGCAGAGCCCCAGAGTTGCTGCCATCTGCTGGAAGATGCTGGAACTGAGGGTTAGGAAGATGGCACAGGGATGTGCCTGTGGAGAGGAATTAACTCGTATATACGAACTAGGAGGTAGACCCACTAGGAACTTCATTTTAAATCTTGCTTGGGGCATCCCCTATCTCTAGTCACCCAAAAGGTACTGCAAGTGATGGATGAGAGTCTGGATTCACCCCCAGACCACCCTTCCATGCCCTGCCTTAGCCAAGCCCTAGGCTGCCAAGTTTTCCCACCTCCTTTTCACACCGCTCCCTATCCGAGGTCCTGCTGGCAAATAGCCAAGGCACACCTATGGGTGTACAGGAAAGATCAGGGCTTCTGAAGCCCAGGTATGTCTGGAGCCTGGGAATGTCCATTCTAGAACTTCCATTCTGGGCCCAAGAGACTTACTTCCACATGTGTGAGCTGAGGTGCCGCTCCAGCATGGAGCTGAGTGCCGAGCAGAACCGGTCCAGCCGGCGACTAAATACATAGCATCCTGGGCTCACCAGCCGACTCCCAAAGGTGCAGAACTAAAGGCCGAAGGAAGGCGCATGGTTGGCAGGGTTGAGGTGCACAGAGGGCATCTGCACACAGGATCTGACCTCCTCCACATATTGTGGGCCAGGAGTGCTGGGCCACCCCCACCCTAGGCCCCTGCCCCAGGTCCTTACCGCCTGTGGCCTCGGGGGTCGGGTTGCATAATGGCAGTCAGGGGGGAGGTGGAGGTCATCAGATGTCCCTTCCTCCTCACTCTCCTCGCTAGAGGCCTGGGCCCCACCCCGGGGCATGGGGAAGGGGAACAGGCCTGGGTCCCCATCACCACCACAGGGGCCTTCATCATCCAATTCACTCTCAGAGGAGGCCCGGGACCTGGAAGGGCCAAAGGGGATGTGAGGGGAATGTGACTGTTGTGGGGTCAGAGTAGGGGTGTCCTTGAACCCGCCAAGCTCAGAGAGCAGGGCACAGGGGCAGACACCCTGCAGGGCAATCAGAAGAGGACAGAGGGAAGGGAAGGACAGGAGGGAACCACAGAGCTCACAGAGTAAGAGACAGAGAGACTGCTCCCAAGGGATTCTCTCCCCAGCCCCTTCACCTCCCAGCCCCTTCCTCCTCAGGGGATAATCTGCTCCAGATCCACCTCCTCCAGAAAATCTTCACAGTTAAACTGCACCCAGCTCTGGTCAGCCCAGTCAACTTGCTCAACTCCCTTCTTGCATCACATATTCCTGTGAGCCTGTCTATGAGCTGAACCTGTTTCATGTTTGCCCCTTGTGTGACAGGCAGAGATGCACGTGTGTCTCCTTCAGCAAGGCAGGCTCTCCCCGGGGGTCCGGCGTAGCCTCTGCACACGAAGGAGCCAGTGAGTGAATACACGTAGGGCTGCCTTGCCCGAGACTGTGACCCTTTCGGCTCCCCAGTGACAAGATTCGGCCTGTTGGAGGCAGCTGGGAAAATGTTCATATCCCAAGTGTTGGATCTGGCATGCCGCTGAGAGGCTGGGATGCTTGTGGTGTGCTTGGTTGGGAACAGGGACATCTTCCGCTTCCACACCACTGTCAGGAGCCCCAGGAGTCCCCCCACACTCAGAGCTGAGTGAGTGCATCTTCCAGGACACTCCATGAGCCTGTTTCCAGGGGCCCCGGGTGGCTAAGGGGCCAAGTACCCCGAGGCAAGGTAGGGGTTGGATGCTAGACGTACCTGGGCAGTGCACAGTATGGGTACGTCTGCTTGGCACGGACAGAGAAAGTGCTGCTGGGAGCAGCCACTGCTGCCACAACCTGGACTGCGGATGGGAGCTCCTGGGAGGGGCGCTCGAGAACTTGCTCCTTGCGCCCTGGGCTCTTCTCCTTGGGAGACTCCCCTTTGCGGGAGTTGGCCTTCAGCTCTGCCACCAGCACGTCAAAGTCCTTGGCTCGGCCCTGGACTTCCCGACGCTGGTGTACTGAGTGGATCTAGAATACAGCAGGGTGGAGAGCCGGGGAGCAGGTATGAACTCAGCAGGGGTGAGGGACGGCAGGGTGGGCATATTTGCAGCTGTGTTCACATGTCTTTGTTTCCCTCCTCCATTGGGCCAAAACCCTCCCTTAGGATGGGGGAATCTGGAAACCACCCCTACCCACTGCTCCCATCTTCTGCCCAGGAGGGGCATCCCCATCTCCCCTTCCCTAAGGCGGGCCTAACCACCCTCCCTTAAGCTAGATCTTTACTAACATCAACATTCCTCTCCTTGCCAGGGAAGGAGCGGGCAAGCCCTGTGCTGTCCTCCCTCACTGTGCAGTGGGAAGGGGGTTACCTTGCAGGTCAGCAGGCGGGTACAGATCTTTTTGGTCTCTGGATTTATTACCCCACACTGCCTGTTGAGGTCGCACTCCTTCCCTGTGGGAAAAGCACTTTCAGTGAACCTCAAGACCATTTCCAGGTGTTCCGCAGGAGGATCTGGCCGCTTCCTGCCAAGGGCCTGAGAAGAACTGGAATTAAGGCAGAAGCGCCTCCAGCCCTCAGCGTGGGGCTTCACCTTCCAGAGAAACTTCTAGGCATCAACACCTCTTTGCTGGGTGTGAGAACCATCCCTATCCTGATCCCAGGTGCTCCTTTTGGGACTTCAGGCCCAAAGCAGGGCAACACATATCAAGAAACACAAGCAGCCGTGGGCATTTGGGATGCCAGAGAAGCCAGTTGCGACATGTGTCTGGCGCCCTGGATCTAGGTGAGAAAGAGTGAGAAAGAACTTCACCTCCTGGGCATGGGCTGCATCAGGAGACACAGGCTGGAGAGAAGCTTCCCAAGAAGCAAGCAAGTCAAGACGTGACAGGGGCTTCTGTACCCTACAACCTGTGACGGCCAGGCTTATAAACCTGATCTCCTCCCCATCTGGCCCAAAGACAAAGCCGCCCAAAAGAGTCCCCACTGCACCTTCCACACCCCCAAGACCACAACTACTCACGAGCCATCTTCCGGTGGGTTTTGGGGGGCAGCCTGGCCCCACTGGGCTCCTTTTCAGGAGGGCTGCCTTCAGCCCGGTGACTGGATCCCTCACTGGGGATGATCTCGATGTTCTCTCTGCCAGGAGGTTCTTTAGAAGGGGGAGCCATGGGAGGTTTTCCAGGGGAGTCCTTGGTAAGGCCCCCTGGCTGGCTGAGAAAAGCAGAGGGTGGGGCCACCCTGATTCCGTGTCCATCAGGCTTCGGGAGACTGGACATCTTCTCCAGATTCACCACAGGCACGAAAAGGCTACACATGGAGAGAGGGGGTTGGCTGGGGAGGGGGAGGAAAGGCCTGGGGCCTGGACTCTAGCCCAGCGCCATCTCTTTCCCAGCCCTGAACTTGGGTGGGCTCCAGCAGGGGTGTGAAACATGGGAAGAAGGGACCCCATCTTCCCTGGAGCACATGGAGGGAAGCTGCAGACAGGTGCTGCCTTCTGCTGTGAGGAGTATGCCTCGACCCAGGGCTGCCTCTATTGGTGTCCACCCCTCCCTGGGTCAGGGTCAGGGCCAGTCTTAGAAAAATCTCCAGCCTCTCCTTACCAGAGGTTGTCTTTCTGGGTCTTCTCAGGAGGCTGGTGGCCACGGCTCCGGGACCCCTGGCCCTTCTCCCTGGAGGAGGTTTTTGTGGAACCTGGGGCCCTACAAGCTGGGCCCTGCCCATTCACTACATGGCATTTCTGAGAGCTGGCAGGGGCTGGAGGTGGGGGTGGGGCCCGGGTATAAAGCTTGCTGAGGGGCCCATGTCTTCTTTCTGTCGCCAGGAGGTGGAAAGAATAATCAAGGTGAGTGGTATCACTGCTTCCTTCCCCAACCTAACCCTGTCTGTAGACTCACATGAGAGAATCTGAGTTTCCTTAAATTAGATTGAAAACATACCTCCTTCCCATTTGAATCTGAGCCTTCAAGACTCAAAATTCAAGACCTAGCTTCCTGAACCTCTTAACACCTCCCTTAACTCCACAGGATGCTAGAATGACAATAACCCGACCCCCCACAATGCTCTGAAGACACCCCCAGGACCTTCCTATCCTCAACACGACCCTCCATTACCCCATGAGACCTCCCCACTGACCCTGTCCTCAGAGTTCCCTGCTCTACCTTCCCCTGTCCCTCTGTCTCCGCCCTAGGGCTCCCCTCACCGCAGTGCTTCTGGAAAGCTTGAGGCTTCACCACTTGGCTGCAGTGGTTACACACAACCAAATAGAAGTCGTCATGGGCAGGGCAGTGCCCGAAGATGGACATGTCTGCAATGACAGAAGCCCATGTCACTGGGGCTGAGGATCCCAGGGTTTCCCTGAAAGATCGGAGAGCACTCCCACCCCACCACTCAGAGGGCACTTCACCTCCCCGCTGACATGACAGACTCCATGCTGAATGCTCCCAGCTTCCAGAGTTCAATCTAAGCAGTCCCAAAGGGTATGCGCTTTCAGGTGAGTGGGCAATCACCTATGATTAGGATCTCCAACAACAGGTCACAGGAGCCAGAGCAACCGGCCGACTCAGACCTATCAAAATGAGGGTCCCCGACAGCTGCTTCAAGCAGCCACCTCCTTCTGTAGTGTGGTGGAAAAGTGGAGCGTGGTCCTGTCTGCCCTGGGTCCCAGCCCTAATGTGTGTCGACTCCCACCTTCTTTAATGAGGGTCATGGCATCCAGCTTCTTCGTGTTTTTGCTACTCTCCTCCAGCTCAGCCCCTAGAGGAGAAACACAGCTCAGAAGGGTCAGGGCCAGTCTTAGGGACTCCAGCCTCTCCTTACCAGAGACTGTTCTTCCCAGAAGACAAGCCAGAGGTTGTCCCCTTTCCAGAAGCTCCGAGCAGGGCCTGCAACACAACAGTATGAAGCCCCCACTCCGTGACAAGCTCCTGGTGCTAGGACCACTTGGGGAACCTTTCAGAGGGTCATTTTCAAATGCCTATTTTCCTTCACCTGCTGCATCTGCACCAAGATGGCCCCACTAAGAAGAATCCATCCACCTTTCTTACGGGACCCCTCACTTCAAGGTGCAGTTCAGGGTTCCACTGCTAACTAGTTGGGTGATTGTGGTAAATATCATCTCTTTTCTGGGCCTGCTTCCCCATTTAAAGGGGAAACAATCCTTAACCAATTTTTCTATAAATCCTTGAGTCTCTTCTTGAGATTTCTCAGATGGGTCCTTTCTGCTACTCTGTGGCATCCCAGATAGATACTCTCCCAGGTCCCCACCCCCATGAATTCAATTTTGCTCCACCTGGGTTACCATAGCATTGTCAAAGTTACACCCAGCTTCTCAGGTCCTGCACTGATAGGATGGTCACAGAGCAGAGAAACTGCTGTCTTTGGTCCTTGGGCATCTTCAAAGTCTCCTTGGTCACCTATGCAAGTCCCTCCCCTTCTTAGAGGGGCTTTGGGCAGGGGTTGCCCTTGTACCTCAGTTTCTGGGTTAATGATAAAAACATCTTAGCTGTGCAAAGCAGCTTTTTCCCCATCCCCCTACCTCTCTCCTCCCCCCTCCCTCCTCTACGCCCCCTCCCTGTCCCTTGGAAAAAAAAAATCAATTCTGAGTCACCAAACCCGTCTGACTCCATTTCCGGTTCTCAATGCACCCAGACCCTGACAATGGCCCCATCCTTGCCCACCCAGCATGGGGCAGCCCCGGGGTGGCCTAGGCTCCCACTTAGGTCTGCTCTCTGATGCCCATTAACAGATATGCTCCCTTCTAGGATGAGAAGATTGTTGACAATCTTATATAATATCCAGATATGAGGGGTGGTGGGTTAGGCACGCAAGAGACAAGGGGCAGTTCCCCCTCTAAGTCCGTGAAATGCAAGTGCGGGGAATGACGGACAGAACGAAACTGAGAGTCAGATGTCTCAGAGGAGAACAAGTGTCATTAGAGACCCCTCCATGCTGTCTCCTCCTCCACCTCTTCTCACTTGCAAACTTCTTCAGGGGCGTGATGCCTGCTGTCACCCCGAAAGGCCACGAGGCCAGGTGCTCCCTGGGGCCCAGAAGACAAAGATCAGAAGAAGAGGCTGTAGGCCCGCTCACTACGGCACTCAGGGGCCTGGAGAAGGTGGGAGTCAGAGGAGAGAGCCAAGGGGCAGGGCAAGAGGCCTGGGAAAGGACAGAGGTTTGGAGGCATGGATGGATGGACTGAAGGATGGAGGGAGAGAGGGAGGATAGATGGATGGACGGAGGAACTAACGTGGAGGGGGTGGGGGTCTAAAAGCACTGCAGCTGCAGGCAAACGCCGAAAAGGAGCAGGAGATGTGGGGCAAAAGGCGAAAGAACAAGGGGGGTGAGGAAGGGGGCACAGAAGTGGGGTGCGTGGGAAACACGTGGAGAGGACTGTTGCGGACAGGGAAAGCCAGAGGCAGGTGCCGGAGAGGCGCGAGTTGGGGACCAGCAGGCAAGGAGAAAGATAAAGGCAAGCCTATGTGGGGGCAGGTATTGGGGACTGGCAGAGGCAGAGGTGGGCTGGGTGGGCTGTGAGCGGTGAGCCGGCGCTAGGACCCGGAGGCGCGAAGGTGACGGAGCAGGCGGGCACTAGGACCCGGCGGGTCCTTTGTTTGGGGGGCCGGGGAGCCGGACGGCGGCTCCAGTCGGCGGCTCCCCTCAGCTGGCGGGGGCCCGGAAGGGGGGAGGGGAGACAGTGATGGGGTCCCCGGACTTTAGGGTGGCTTCACTTACCGTCAGTCGCGGGCAAGTCGGCCCGCTCCACCCACGAGCTCCAGCTCTGTCCCGCGAAGTCATCGAGACTCGGCACCCGCCGCTCCAGAGCGGCCATTGCTGCCGCCGCGCGTTCACGCACCGCCATCACCGCCGCGGACGCGCGCCCGCCCTGGCGCCGCCGCCGCTCGGCCCCCTCCCCCTCGCCCTCGTCGCGGGCACGCCTCCCCTCTCCCCCAACCTGCCTTTCCAGCTCACTCTTTGCGCAAGCGCAACACAGGTTGCCTGCTCCCCGCCCCCTCCCTTCTGCACAGCCTTCTGGGAAGTGTAGTCTTGGAGCGGATGCTATTTCCTACCGAGCTTGCAGCCAGAGTCCCTCCGAAATGCACAATTGCAGGGGGAAAAGAGAAGACCAAAGCTCCAGGATCTCCTCTTCTAACCGTTACGCACACATTCTTTGTGCTACCAGTCCACTCTCCCAGGCTAACTGCACCTAACCCAGCCCCAAACCTTTCTTTGCCCAGACGCCCCTCTAAGCCGTGCGTCCGCCAGCTGGCTGGCGCCCCTTCCCGGGCTGGCGGCCACGAAGCGACTCCGCTCCCCTGTAGATCGAATAGGGTAGGTGCAGGGAGGTGGGCGCTGTGAATCAGAAGGGCAAGGGGAGGGAGTCTGTAGGATGTGCTGAAGGACACAGGGGTTGGAGGTGGGGAGGGCCTCGGCTCCCGTGTAGTGCTTCCTCTGTGGGAAACCCACGCTGCCCTGATGCAGAGCAGAGGGTTGGAGTGGCGTTGTCTGGGTTTGAGAGGACCTGGCTAAGCTGACCAAGATCACCTGTCACGATGACAGAAGGCTGTCTCCGAGTCAGAGCCAGCCCCGGAACTGGGGTGGCCCCGAGGCGGCTGGTGTTTGCAGCATCTATGCTGATCCGTCTCTCTTCTCCTGAGAACTGCGATCGATACCCTGTACCGCCTCTTCCCAAACCCTGGCTGGACCCCGACTTCATCTATCACTTTGCCTTCTTTTTCTAATGAATACTTTCTCTGCTGGAAAGGCTGCTTCTGAAGCCCCGGCATAGGGAGATTTCTCATCAGAGCTGTCATCTTCCTTGCTAAGGTCTGGAAAGTACCTTAATCATCCATTTCTTTCTTCTTCTCAGCTGATAACATTTCTTCCCACCCTCACACAATCAAGAGACAAAAGTCTGCCTCCTCCATTCCCCACCCCCCCCCAAACACATTGGAAAAGAAATACTAATCCTTTTTCCTCAACCTCTCGCACCTCATCCCCCCACCCCCCACTCTTGACCCTTTAGCCAGGGGGAAAACAAGTTTGGGAGCAAGACCTCAGATTTTCTTCTCCTTTTCATCCAGGGAAGGTGTAAGTACTTCAAGAATAATCTCTGAGGGCAGGGAATCAACCTGAGACCCACAGTTGTTCCTTAGGGTGTCCAGGAATCTGGTAAAAATTGAATTGTTCAATTGTGCCCAAGTGTATTTTTCTAGGGGATGTAAATGTAGTGGATGACTGTGTGAAGGGGGATAGAGGTGCAAGTTTGTTCAACAAGAAGCTGATAGTTAAGAAATCGAAGCATATGGCCCTCAACTCCTGACAGGAAGCCCGTTTGGGTCACAGATGGTAGGACAGCACATGGAAACAGCTTTGTGGAAGCCACTATCTCTCACCTTTTGAATTTGCTCCAGAATTGTTAATGAGTCCCAGTTACTTTGGTCTAATTGGGTGCCACCAAAAGAGGAGATGTCACTAGACCAGAACCTGCTAGTAACAACCGCTCTCCTCTCTGCACCCCAAAAAAACAGTCTGACTTATCAGAAAGTCCTGATATTTGTCCAAGAACTTAAAACAAGAGAAAGGAAGAAAAACAAATCCCCAGAAGGACTCCGGTGTCAGATCCTTCATAGCAAGTACTTGCAGCACTGTTTATTCAAATGTTTAATAACAAGCACCAGAAAACAACATGCAACATTCTCCCCCCACCCCTGATCTGCAATCCCAGAAGTAAGAGACTCATGACCACAACAGGGAAGGAAACTCATGTCCAGAAAAGGTCCTCGGTGGGCACCCTGGCACTGAGTTAGAGTCTGGTGGGACAAAGGGCAAGTGCCTTGCCCATTAGCCTCCTGCAGCAGCTGGAGAAACCAGACACCTTCTTCTACCTCAGGCCCCACTGGGCAAAGCAGTGATGCCAGCCCTGGCTGGAAAGAACATAAGTCCTATGAGGTACTTGGCCCCACCCAGCCCTCTGGAGGTAATGAGGTGAAGTAGCCTTTCCTCTTAGGGTGGCCATGGAGAGTGACGCCATAGCCTAAATCGAGACTCTCCATAGGATTTCCACATGAATTAAAAAAAAAAAAAAAAAAGACTCTTCTGACAGAGAACAAGAGAGCCTCTTGAGAAGAAAGAGAACAAGCCTTCCTTGCTTTAAAGAGAGTTCTGGGCTGGGAGTCCTTGGCAGGAGTGAATATAATCTCCCCCCACCCCCACTTGCAACCACTTTCCTTGGCTGAAGGGCCAGTTGCTAACTTCAGCCCCCAAATGAGAACACTATCCAGCACATTTCAAATAAATTATAAATACAGACACAGAATCCAAACAAAGACCCAGTAGAAGCTGCTCACAGACCCCCACAGAGGCTGGCTTAAAGAAAAATGAAGGTCGCCCCTTTGTTCTCTGTGTCTCTGGAGCTGTAGGCAAAACTGTCCCCCCTTGTCCTTGAGTAACCATGGGGACAGCTCATGACAGAGAGAGTTTCAGACTTAGAAACCCTCTCACCCCATCTCCTTTCTTTCCTCCTCGAATATCTTCCCCAAAATCTTAAACAAACAAACAAAAATGATTCTTTCACTGAAGGACTCTGGAGCATTTGGGGACGTAAATCTCACCCTTTCCCCATCAAGAGGAAATGACGGGCCTGAAGGCAAAAGTCCTGACTCCTAGGTACCCCAGTAATGTACATGTTTCTATGGATGGTGTTTAGAGAGGTGAGGAGGTTGAAGGGGGTTGACTCAGTCCTGAGGAGGGATTGGCACAGAGCACATTCACCTTTGGGATGCTTAGCAGGCCAATTGGCACTGGATTGGAAAGTGCTTGGATTCTTCCCTCTTCTTCCTTCCCTGGGAAGCCCTATGGCCAGGGCAGATTGAGCTGGGCAGGAAGCAAATGGTCCTAACCCAGTTAACTGACTCTCAGCCTTGGGGCCCAGAGAGGGACTGAAGGAGGTATCAGGAAGAGGATATACACTAAAGACAAATATGGATCTGGGTCCCAAAGTGAAGAAGCACCAATAGCATCGGCCTGCCATGGACTGGGGAGGGGATAGAGACCGGGAGAAATAAGGACACAGGGGAGGAATAGAGGGGCATGGGGAAGGGGAACATCTTGTTTAAAAGATAAGAAGGAGAAATATGAAAGAAGGACTAGCAGGGGAAAAAAACTGAGCAATGAATAAGGAAGAAATGGGCCCATCCATCCTGGGGTGCAGGGGCAATTTAGCCTCATGATAGTCCTTTGGCCCTTCCTAAGCCCCTTTCTGGCCCCACAAGAATAAAAGAAAGGCCTGGACAGACTTCAAAAAGGATCTCAAATGCCTCAGATGCAAGAGGCTGGGGAAGGGAGATAAACAGAGAAGTAAAGGAATTGGGGGCAGGTCCTAGACTCCACATTTTGACTCCCAAGTGTGAGACCAAGAAGGAGGACAGGGAGGAAGATAGAGAGTTTCTAAAGTAGAGTTTAGAGTGTTGGTGGAAAGTGCCCCAGCCTGGTGGGTGGGAGGATTGAGGGAATAGAAGAAATTGATCATGCCAGCAAGTTTACTGGCTTTACTTCCTTGAAGCTGAAACTCAGTTGCAATTTACCTTGCTCCCAGCTGAGTCTAGGCCTCATCAGGACCCTCCAAGGGACTGTTTTCTTGGCTAGTGGGCCTCTCTGGTTCACACATGGTGGACTCTGGGTGAGCAGAGGCCAAAGAAGACAGTGGGAGGCACACCAAGTCCTGGGGTGACTGTAGATCAGACACAGGGACTAGATGACAGCCAATGAGGAGGGGTCACCAAACCACTGTTGGGGCCTCCACACAAGGGACCAGAAGGGAAGGCTAATAGCTGATTTCCCTTTCCCCTACTACTGTTGAAGCTGGAGGTTGACAGAAAGGTGGCTGCTAGGAACCAGTCTCAGGGCACCGATTTCCTGCCCACTCACCTGCAGGAGAGGCTGATTCTCAGAGACTGTGAGAGTACAAGTAAGAACCCTGAGCCCAGGCACTGGACAAGAAGCACTGAGCTCCTGCCATTCTTGGCTCCAGCAAGAAGAACAGGAAGCCACTGGGAGGGCTGCCCAGGTTTCCAACAGCTGATGCCTGCCCATCGTCTCAAAGCTCAAAGACCAGAATGATGGGGGAGGGGAACTGGAGGAGTAGGAAGAGGGAGGTCCTGGAAGCCGGAGGTGGTTGAAGAGGTGCTGTCCAGTTCGGGAGTAGCCAGGTAGGGGGCTGCTTACTGCTTCTCCACTGCTCCCTGCTCAGCTGCGCTCTCCTGGCTGGGACCCTGGGCCTGGTCCTGGCCCTGGCCCTGTCCATGCCACGGGGTCTCCTTGAACACAAACCAACAGTTCCCGGCCCATAGGAAGAAGTTGATAAAGCCGAAGAGCTGCAAAGACATCAGGGGAATTTGTGAGAATAGTCAGGGGGTCATTGTGGGAACAGTGAGGGGGAGTTCCTCTTGCAGTGGGGGTGGGGGGTTATGCAGGGAAGAAGCACAGAGGGCTAGAAAGACTAAATTAAGACAGAGAACTCATATATAGATCATATATAAGAGTATAGAGGTATAGAGGCAGGGCTCAGGGCCATCACCTGTTTGGGGAACCCAGGTGAAAGTGTCTAACTCTGTCCACAGCATGAACCCAAGATGTAGCTTGGCCACTAGCAGAATCTGGCCCTTTAGTTGAGCATCGTGCAAAGCATAGCCAGGTGCCAAAAGTCAGAGCTGGGACGCTTCCCGCAGCACACGTGAGGCCCTGTTCTAAGCACCTTCTGCCCAGTGGGTGTGGCAGGAGCTGTCCAAGGTGCTCCTTCCCTGTGATCAGGCACCCAGCCAGAGTTATATTCAAATATTTATTCAAAATATTTTTAAAACCTCACAGCAGGAAGTACTTAGAGGGGAGTGTACTGATGTCTCAAA